AGGACAGGGGGGATGCGGGCGTCCAGTTTGGGCAGTGGGTGGGCCTCGCAGTGAGTCACATAACTATTGAGAGCCTCAGTTTGCTCATCTGTAGAAGGGCTTTGTGATACCTGTGCAGATTTGGGTTTCCGGAACATAGCAGGTGCTCAATTAAAAATACACACGTAGGGATGCCTGGGTGGCTCAGTCGGTTAAACGTCTGCCTTCTGCTCAGGTCATGGTCCCGGGGTCCTGGGATCGAGCCCCGCATCGGGCTCCCTGCTCGGCGGGAAGCCTGCTTCTCCCTCCCTCTGCCTCTCCCCCTGCTTGTGCTCACTCTCTTGCTCGCTCACTCTTTCGAATAAATAAATAAAATCTTCAAAGAAAACCCCAAAAGAATATTTTAAAATACACATGGAAGAACATGGCAGTCAGACAATTCCATGAGTGGCCATGGGATGAGAAGCAAAGCCCAGGGCCCTCGGAGTTCAGACAGGAGGACTCCAATGCAAAGCATCAGCTGGAGGGGGAGCCAGGACTCGGGGAAGAGGGGCCCTGAGGGAGGGGGGGCCAGGCTTGCAACAGCAGAGTGTGGGTCAAGGGTGGAGAGATCAGACTCTGGGTCTGGAGCTGAGGCCCCCAGGAAGGTCTAGTTCTGGAGGAAGCCGTGACAGGACTCCTCCCACCTGGCTGTCCTGTCTTCGCTCCCAGACCGTGTGTGAGTTTGGATTTAGTAGCCGTATCTTGGCAGGACTTCCCGGGGCTCCTCCTCTGCTAGTTTCCATGTTAACGCTTTTCCTCCAGCTAAAAGCAGAATCCTTGGGGATCCACGAACCTTCTAGAGCTGCTGCCTGGGGTCAGCATCCACCCATAGCGAGGCTGCACCAGCTTGTCCCTGCTGCTAGGACCCTTCCGGGCAGAGGCCGCGCACTGTGGGAGCCCCGAGCCCCGTTCCTCTGTCACCAGAACCTCAGCAGCCTGCCCCAACTGCTCCGGTCCCTGGGCTGGCGGAGGTTGGGGCTGGTGGCCCAGCTGGGTGGGAGCGTTCGGAGAGGAAGGGGGACAGCTTTCGTGCAGGCACAGCGAGGCTGGCCAGTCCAGCCCTTCAGGCAGGATTGGACACGCAGGGGCTGCTCACAGAGAGATGGGAGGAGCTCGGCTCACAGCTGTCAGAGCATTCTAGAAGACTTGGGGCCCTGGAGCAGACACAGAACCTTGCAGGCAGAATAGCCAGGCGTGGCCTGAGGTGCAGAAAGCCCTGGGCCGGGACGGAGCAGGGAGGCTGGGACTGAGGGGAAGGTCCCGAGGGCTGGTGGTGGCGGGGGACAGGGTCCAAAGCTCACGAGAGCCCACTTTGATTCCTAGCTCGGCCTTTTCCCAGCTGGGTGACCCTGGGCATGTGACCTACCCTCTCCTCTCCCAGCCTGTCTCGTCCTCCACGGTCTCAGTGCCTGCCTCCCGGGCTCTGGTGCGCAGGGGAGCCAGGGGGTAAGGGAGGCAGCCGCTGGGCTTGGCGGGAGCCCCAGGCTGGCGGTTCCCAGCCCATGGGGCCCAGGGTCAGGGACGGGAAGCAACGCCTTCTCCATCCAGCTCCTCGGGAGCCCCGTGTCTGAGTGATGTGACTTGAGCCTGGGGCCACTGCGGGCTCCGGTGCCCACAAGGCCCGGCAGGTCCCGCGGACGAGTGAGTCAGGCCGGGCGGGGACGGCGGCAAGCGGGCAGCCCAGTAGAGGGGCCAGCTGCCTGCACCGCACAGGAACGTGGGCCCAGCGTGGCCAGATCGCTCCTTTCAGGAGAAATAGGAACTCCGTATTTATTTGAAACACCCCAGTTCTTCCATGTTGGCAGCTAACTCATGTTTAAATTTACATGAGCCAAACCAGTCATGTCTGCGGGCCAGATGCTAACCAAAGGCCACCAGTCTGCGATCTCTGAGTCGGCTGGAAGGTGGGGCAGCGGGGAGCTCCTGATGTCCCTCGGGTTGGAAAGCCGGCAACGAAGGGACATCCCGAGCCCCGCACTGAGAGCGCACCCCCAGCCCCACTCAGCCCCAGGGCTTCCTGGGTCCTGGCTGGAGGCTGGGGCTGGGGCTGAGTGGCCCTGGTTTCCAGTCCAGCTCTGGGCCATTTCCCAACAGGCTGATCTTGGGCAAGTACCTCTCTGACCCTCAGTTTCCTCTTCTGCAAAATGGGATTAAGGATACCTGCCTCTCTCAGCAGCTGTGAGAGCAGATGGGCTGTGAACCTTCAGGGCCCATCCTCACCTGGGTGCTCAGAAAGTGCTCAGTACTCAGTCACTGTGGTTGTAGACAGGCTGGGGGCTCGGTCTATGCAGATAGAGCTGTTTCTTCTGTCTGCTGCTTTTCTCCCCGCCTCCCCTCCCGGCCCGCCCCAAGCTATGTTTTTTAAGTTTTAGAATTAGGGCAGGTTGCTGTGATAATACAGAGGGATCCCATGTACCCCTCACCTGGTTTCCCTCACTGTTACGACCGTATTTACTGTGGTGCGTTGTCCCAGCTGGGGGACCAACCTCGATGGATTGCTAGTAACTAAACCCCACAGTTTGTTCGGATTCTGCTAGTTTTTCCCTAATGTCCTTCTCTGTTCCAAGATTGCATCCAAGATACCAACCGCGTTGTTTAGTTCACGCCTCCTTAGCCGCCTCTGGTCTAGGATGGCTTCTCAGACTTTCCTGGATTTTGATGACCTTGACAGCTTTGAGGAATATTGGTTAGGTATTTTGTACAATACCCCTCTATTAGGGCCGATCTGATGTTTTTCTCGTGGTTAGACCGGGGCCACGGGCTTGGGGAGGAAGACTGCAGAGGTGAAGTGCCTTCATCACATCCAGGGCACAGGCTGTCAACAAGATGTAGCACTGTTGGTGTTGACCTTGACCACCTGACTCAGGTAGTGTTCGCCAGGTTCTTCCTGAGCAGTTCCTTTTCCTTTTCATATTCTGCTCTTTGGAGGCCACTTGCCAAGTGCAGCCCCATCAAGGGGAGGGGCAGCTAAGCTCTGGTGAGGCTCAAGGGGCAGAGAAAACCCGACCTTGGAGAGGCCTGGGAGGCTCACTGACACCGCATTGAGCCTAGGGCACAGTAGGTATAGTGATTGAAGTGGGGGGAGCCTCTCCCAAGCCCCAGAGAGCTGGGGGTGCTTGGTGACCTAGGCGAGGAGTGTGGGCCTCTGGGCACCCGAGCTCCCCTGCACAAAGTCAGCCTGGGGCCTCAGTCCCCCAGGGGTTGACCAGGCTCTGGGGCTGACCCTGTGGACCTCAGAAGCCAGCCCACGAGTGGGGCTGCCGCGTGGCCTGCTGGGTGAGGCAGGACGGGCTGGAGCTGGAGTGATGGCCCAAGGGCAGCCAACCAAATAGCACTCCGGCCCAGGACAGTCAGCACAGTGGGCCTGGCGCGGAATCCTCCAGCCCCGGTCTGGTGACCTATCACCCAGCGCCCATTATATGGGAGATACAGGGAAGGAATTTTGTCCTGATCTCTCTAGGAAGACAGATTTCATTCAGGGGCAAACCGTGGCCGGGGGTCCAAATCTGGCCTGCCACTGTTCTGTGAAGTTTTCCTGGCACACGGCCGAGCTGCTGGTTTGCATATTTATCTGTGGCTGCTGTGGGCCTTCAAGGGCAGAGTTGAGTCGTTGCGACAGAGACCTGTGGCTTGCAAAGCCTAACGTGTTTACTGTCTGGCCCTTCACAGAGCGAGTTTGCAGACCCTGGCCCGAGCAGAGAGCGGACCAGGGTTCAGGATGTGTGCTTAGGGCCTCCCAAGAGGGAGACACGAGGCGGGCCAGGACTTCCAAGGAGGGGGTGGGGATTTCTGGAAACAAGTGGGCAGGTGGCACAGGGCAAAGCCAAGACCCTGAGGTGGGTGAGCTTCGCTTTAGGAAACAGTGATCCGCCCTGAACGCAGTCCTGCGGTGGCCCCGTGGGGACTTGTGTGAAAGCTTCCTGGTGGCGCAGATGACCAGGGAGGCCAGCCGTGAGGGGTCTCCTGGCAGCAGCAGGCCGTCGAAATGGCGAAGTGGCTGGGAGGGACCTGGAACCCCAGGAGAGCAGCCCCTGCTCCCCAGCTCGGCCGCCCGGAGCCCACGAGATGCTGTGGCCCGGAGCTGCCAGATCGTCTGATTTTCCAAGGGAAGCTGGCAGTCTGGTGTTCATGAGAAATCTCCTGATTTGTTGCCTGTTTGCAATTAATTCCATTTTTTAGACATCATGAAGCAGACCGAGCACATCCGTCTGGTGTGTGGGCTACAGGTTTGAGAACTCGGGTGTCCAGGGTGGGAGTGAGGATGCGCGGATGTGGGTGGACAGGGAAGAGCAGGCCAGGCCCAGCACAGTAAGCCGGCAGGCGAGCTCTGGACTGGGGGCAGAGGGGGAGAGGGGACAGTGAAGGGAGACTCTGAGAGAGGGGGTGCAGCAGAGTCCGGCACCTGCAGGGTCAGATTGCCCCGTCTCCCAACCAGTCCCAGGCCGGTGGAACATTCCTGCCTGCAGGCTGGGAGCTGGGGAGCCCGCAGCTGGACACTCCTCCTTGCTTACCTGGCAGCCCGCTCCACTCCCCACCCCCAGGGGAATCTGTAGAAGGAGGGATGGGAGGTAGAGATCTCTGAAGTCCCCTCGACATTCCCAAGGGTTTGGGTTTGTAGTTCTGTCCCCAAAGACTTGGGCCCTGTCTGGGGATGGGCAAAGGCTGGGCTTCGAGCTGGACAGGCCTGGTGGACTCCAGCTCCCTGGTCCCCTGGCTCCTGCCACTTCAAAGACACAAGGAAGACCCCAGTTTTGCAGATTGCCCGGAGAATCCAGCAGAAAACGGGTGTGGAGGACTGGGTTTCCATGGTGTCCTGACGTGCCTGTGATTGGGGCCTGGCTTCCAGGATGTGCTCTGTTCTTCCCAGCAGCAGCTGGGGCATCTGGCTGTTTTCAGCCTTGCACACCAGCCCTTACCTGCTGATTCAAGCCGCTGGTTTGCAAGTAGTCAGTGGCTGCACTGTGGGTTTATTGTTTTAGGATGCCTGGTTGCAAGTGACAGCAACCCAGGTCAACTTGGCTGAAGCAAACAAGAGAAGTCCAGGGCTCATGGACAGGAGCCGGCCCAGGGTAACTCCCGCCTCAGGCAATGATGGATTCGGCTGCTCAAATGATATCGTCAGGACTTCGTCTCACTCCATCTCCCAGCTCTGCGACCCTGTGTTGGCTTCAATCCCAGGCAGGCCCTGCACTGTGGTGGCAGAGGTGGCCCTCAGGTTCATGAACCATCCTCCCCCACGCCCCTGGGTCACAGCTCCGGTGGGTCAGGCCTCCCACCCCCTGCAGCCCCCACCTGAGCCATAGCGGGTGGTGAGGGTGGCCAGGTCCGGCACAGGCACGAGTGATCTTTCAAGATCAGGACGCCGATCCCAGAGGGCGGTGGAGGCTAGACAGGCCTGTGTCTACCGCACCCCCCCCCCCCCCCCCCACTGTCTAAGAGCAGCATGTGTGCCCTTGAGACCACATTTGGAGTCCCCTGGCTCATCAGAGGTCACCCCTTCCTGGCTGACTTCAGGCTCAGCTCTCCAACCAGCTAGGAGTCACCATCCCGCATTTCCCCACGTGCTCTAAGATGTTGGCGGGGGTTTGGTCCAGGGCCACTAGGAGGCTCTTAGGATGACTTCTCCTTGGTTCTGTTATAATTATATTGATTTTCTCCCTTTTTTGGAAGTCTCTCTCCTTGAAGGAGGAAGCAGAAGCCCCGTCCCTGGGGGGTGTCTTACCCATTCAGAGCCACCGCCTTTTGAATGGTGGAACTATTTCAAAAAAAACAGGGGGTCAGAATGAGGCCACACTGGCCCCTCATGGGCCCCTTCCCTTGTCTGGGGACCTGATGGTCAGGAGAAGGGACCTATCATTTCAGGATCACAAAATGTTCTTTGATCCCCATGTGTCAGGACCAGGGAACTGGTCTTCAAGCTGTCATTATTTGCTTGATAGTTATATTTTCTAGATTACTACAATGACCAATTTTCAGGAGAAATGGGGCAAAGAGATCCTAAGCCTATGGGCTACCCACAGATTGCATCCCTTAGGCTATGAGATATATCTTGTGGCTCATTTCTCAGTTGTGCTCTGGTCATGGAGCTATTGGAGGCCTTGCATCCCATCCATGGTGGCAGGGGGCAGCCCAGGAAGGTGCTAGAAAAAGGGGGCAGGTGGTAGGCCTGGGCCCCAAGTACCCCCAAGTAGGCTGAGCCAAGAATGGCTGACCCAGGGTTGACAGATGGAATGTTCTGTTGCCCTTTCATGAGGCTGGCCCTTCGCCATGATGAATGGCTCATCCTGGTTTTCCAGCTGTGGGATGGTGACACGGGGAGGTATGTAGTCCTCAGACACCTGAGCACATTCTGTCTTACTTGAAATACTTTGATGGTTTCCTTCTGTGGGGCAAAATTCAGGGCTTTGGGGCTCAGACATGAGAATCTGTGCACTCCCGCCCTAAACCTGGCTGCTTCCCTTTAGGGGATCCTGGCCACAGCCTCCTCCCTGCTCCCCTCTTTCCCCTCAATTCTGCTCTTTCTAAAACACCTAATTCCACACACATACTCCCGATTAGTGACTTCAGTGGCTCCCTGGTCCCTTGGGATGAAGCTCTTAAGCGCGGCCTCTGAGGGCCCATGTGATCTGGCCCTGGTTTATAGCCTCATCTCTGTCCACACGGTGACCTGGCCCCAGTCCAGACTGAGCCGCTGGAGTCCCCAAGTACCCCTCCCTCCCCCGCCACAGCACTGTGACATGCCATTCCCTCAGTCTGGAAGCCCGCCCTGCCTGCTCTAGCCCTGGGAAACCTCCCTGACCCGCCCCCCCCAGGGGGAGTTGGGCCTCCCCCAGTTTCCACAGGTCCTTGCACCTCCCCACCATTAGCCCTCACATAGCAGTTCTGTTGGTTCCTTTGTCTCTCCTGCCAGTGAGCCCGGGTTGTCTGGGGCTGCCGTCTTGTGCGCAGATGGGCCCTGGCTGGCGCCGGCTCTCAGGACCTGGTGGTGGAGTGGACAGAGGCTTGGAGGACGTGGGACGTGGGTCAGGCACCCCCGCTGAGCCTTGGTTTCCCCCCCTCCACCGTGGGGATGGTGGTCAGGGCGTCGCTGGGGGGAACAAGTATTTGGGGGAGGCCAACTATGCACGCAGCGCAGTGCGGGGCACACGGAGGTGCTGGGCTTTGGGGGAGCTGTTGCTGGCCATGGGCCAGAGCCCCCACCCCACCCCTGCCCTGGCACCTGCACCTGCAGGCCGCTCAGAGTGGGTCTCAGCTGGAGGGGGCCAGGGGGTGGGACAGTCAAGGGAGAGGAGTCAAGGGAGTGGGGGGAGAAGAGGAGGGTGGCGAGAGGGATGCCCAGTGGAGACCTGCAGAAGGACCTCGTCCCTCTGCACCCCTGAGCCCCACATACCTCCCATCTCCCAGCAGGGCCTAGTGTCCCTCCTCCAAGAGGGCCGTAGTCATTGGGATGGGATCGGCCACGGCTCTGCATGAGAACCATCTGGGGATTTCGAAATACCCCGGGGCCGGGCCACACCCCTGATCAGTGTCCTCAGAGGCACGGTGGGGCTCCGGTGGGGCTCCGAGGCGTTTCCTAGCTCTCCGGAGGCGAGGGGTGGGGGGGCACCGTGCCGCCAGTTTGAGAAGCCCTGCTTGCCATGGTCCTCTGTGAAACTGGTTTCTCCGCCAGAAAGGGTCTCAGCAACCGGAGCTCGGGGAGGGCTGCTTGATGGCAGAGCTCTTCTTCCCAGCCTCCTCAGCAAAGATGCGCACCAGATACAAGTGAGCACTCCTTAAATTGGTTTTTGATTTTTTTTGAAAAAGTAACACATTCAGATGGCACCGACTCGAGGCGGCCCAGATGGGGACCCGGTGGAAGAACGCTCAGCCCGCCCCCCGGTTGCCCGGCAGCAGGCCCGGCGCGCGGCTCCGCCCCCCCCGCCCCCGCGGAGCTCACGTGTGCGCGCACGCACGCACACGCACGCACACGCGGGCGTGCGGGACACCTGCCTCGTCGGTCCGTCTCTAGCCGACCTGTGCGTCCCCACGCCGGCAGCGCTCCGCCCTGGGCGGGGACCGGCGCGGGCGGCCCGACGCCCTCGCGTGTGTGGGTGGGGGGGGGCCTTGGCCCTGCCGGGCAGGGCCACCAAAGGACCGTGGCCTCGTTGTCGCAGGGGCAACACTCCCCGGGGCTGAAGTCATTCCTACGACTGGAAATCCTGGGTCACAGAGCGAGGGAATTCCGGAGGCTCACGGGCACCTCGCTTTCTGTCGTTCCAGAAGCCGCCGGCGCCCCTGCCCTTCGAGCTGCCCGCGCTGTACCGGACGGAGGACTACTTCCCCGCGGCCGCCGGCCAGGCCGCTCTGCGGACCCCCGGCCCCCGGCGCCGGCGCGTGTGAGCCCCCGCAGCCGCGGGGTCGGCCTGTCCTACTGCGGTCCCTTCCCGCTTTGAATCCCCTCCCTCGCTGCACGGGAAGCCACGTGGTTCGGAGACGCGTTTGGGGCCCACGCGGGGCGGGGCCCGAGCGCCCATCTGGACCAGGAGCTTCCCGCCGGGGCTGGGCCTGCCCGGCGTTCTGGGCCCCGGGCGGGCGGGTCCGAGCAGCCACCGTGGCTCTAGGCCCCGGGACTCGGAGCCCCCCACCCCCCCACCCCCGTCTCTCCGTGAAGGGCTCTGCGTGGGAATCGTGGGGGGCCCGCTCGGTGCCACCGGGCGCACGGCTCCAGGTTCGCCTGCGGTGGTTGACTTGTCCGCGAACCCAGTGCCCGCCGGCCTGTGAAACATCTCAATAAAGGTGTCAAGAGGTCACGTGTGGTCTGGGTGCGAATGTTTTCTCGAAGGGAGCTCGTGCCACCGAGGCAAGCCTGACCCTCCGAATCTGCTCGTCGGGAAGCCCCTCACCCGGCCTTTAGATTCCCAGCAAGAATGGAGAGATCGTTAGGATTTCCAGGGGTCTTCAAAGGTGGGTTGGCCTTCATTTCATTTCATGCCGATGAGTTTCCTGCTCTTGTCCTGGAATTCCAGATTTCTCACCTTGGTGATGAATAATTCTGGGTTTTGTGAGGGTTTTGGGGGTTGTTTTTTTGGAATTCCTCACAGAGCCAAGAAAACACACACACACACACGCACATCTGAACTGCAGACCTGTATTCGAATTTCAAGGAAATCTAACATAATGAATCGAGAGAGAGCAGTAGAAAAGCAAGGAATAAAGCTGGATCTTGACAACTTTAGGACACATTTTTAGAATTAAAGATACAGGCCAGAGGCTCCTGGGTGGCTCAGTTGGTTTGAGCATCCAACTCTTGGTTTGCGCTTAGGTCGTGATCTCATGGGTCATGGGATTGAGCCTGCTTGGAATTCTCTCTCTCCCTCCGCCCCTCCCTCTGCTCTCACATTCTCTCTGTCTAAAATAAATAAATCTTAAAAAAAAAAAAAGATATAGGTGGACACCTTGTTTCAAGAGAAGCCAGCATTTTCCTGTGGAGATTATTTTTTTAGTAAAAAACTTGTTCTAAACTTGTATTTTATTTTTTTGATTTTTTAAAAAGATTATTTATTTATTTGAGAGAGGGAGAAAGCATGAGCAGGGGGAGTGGGAAAGGGAGAAGCAGGCTTCCCGCTGAGCAGGGAGCCCGATGGGGGGCTCGATCCCAGGACCCGGAGATCGTGCCCTGAGCCGAAGGCAGACGCTTCACCGACTGAGCCACCCAGGCGCCCCTTGTATACGTTATTTTAAATGATCGAGGTGTAATTTACATACAGAAAGGTTCACCTAGGTGGAAGGTCCAGTGATTTCTCACAAACCCCGCCCCGGGCTACCAGCACGCTGACATCTGTCCGTGCAGGCGGCCGTCGCGGGCGTCTGTACTTCGTGTAACCTCGGATGGGTGGACGGGGCCCACGTGGTGCCGTCTGTGTGTCGGCTTCCCCGGCTGACACTGTGCCTGTCGCTACATGTAAGCGGCAGACTGTTCATCCTCGTGGCCGTGCTGTATTGATTGGGACGCTTTTAATGAAGGAAGCTCAGATACTCCCTGGGCCCTGTTGTGTCCGCTCAGGGAGAGGGAAAGTTATTTTTCAGACAAGCGGTGAGGAGACCAGTTTCCGGAAGGCCGAGTATATGTGGCTTGCTGGCGACGCCCAGGCCTCTTTCCCTTTCGGGGCCTGAAGCAGGGGCTAGGGGGAGGTGAAAGGGAACGCCATGTGATCAAGCCACAGCATCGTGAGTGTCCTAAAATAGAGACCACAGGACTGTGGCTAAGAGCTTCTAGGCTCTGAGGTCAGGCTGCCTGGATGGCTCCAGCATCTCTCAGCCCTGTGGCCCTGGGCTAGTTGCTTGCCCTCTCTGAGCCCAGCTTCCTTCTCAATGAGAATGCAGCGAACAAGGGCACCTGCCCACTGGGGGGGTGTTTGTGTGGATGATATGAGGGGACCCGTGTGAATGCTGACCTCAGGGCCGGCAACGGGCACTGCAGTGGGTGGCGTTGCTATGGTGATTGGCCTGGCTGGAAGAAGGGCCAACTTTTGTGCTGTTTCTCAGTTGATGGGTGGCATCCAGGAGCGTCAACAGCGAGTGACTTAGGGACTGCCCTTAAATTTCGGAGTAAGAACAGATAGAAGCATGCACTGGCCTTCACTGTGTTTCGCTGTCCTTGGATCCTTTCAGGGACACCCGCTTTCCCCCAAGTCAGCAAGGAGGGGAGAGCTTGCATGAGAATATCCGTGGGAAAGCTGACTCGTGGCCATTCCAAGTTTGCTGGGAGTCCTGATGCCAAACAGTGAACTTTGAGGGACATTTGGGGACACCTTGCGGGGAGGGAGTGCCAGGACACAGACCCTGCCAGCGATTCTGACCTCAGTCCTTGCTGGTGTTCTGGAGGCACTGCCCTTGTGCTAGGTGAGCTGATGGCCTGTCGGGTAAAGGAAAGCCTTGACTGCTGACTCAAGCAGGCCCCATAGCCCTTGCCAGGGTCACTTTGCTGCCCAGGACAAGGTTCTTTTGTGGGACGCCCATATAAAGGGCATTGCAAATTTTCAGGAGAGCCGGGCTCTTCTTCAGGCAACCACCTCCCTGCTTTCCCAGTGGATGTGAACTTCATGTCTGTCAAAGCAAGAGGTTTCAAGAAGGTGGCCCACGCGTTGGCAGAAATGTGTGGTTTACCCTGAACTGTTTAAAAATGTTTTCGTGTTGAGACAACTGGGTAACCATCTGGAAAAAATAAAGCGAGTTCCATACCTCATTCTGTACACCAGGAACATTTCCAAAATTCCAAATGGATTAAGGACGAGTTAGATGTATAAAATGAATTCATATAAGAAGGCAGAAACATTGGAGAATCATTCAACATCCAGAAGCCTTAAAGATACATTTGATTATATATAAAAAAGTTAAATCCTCTGAATGGCAAAAACAAACCGAAAACTCAACCAAAAAAAAAAAAAAAAAAATCCAAACAAAACAAGAAATCCTAAGCAAATTCGAAAGACAAATGACCAAAAAGACAAGTGATAAATTGGGAAAAATCTATGTGCAGCTCATTTTATAAAGGGATAATCTCCCTAATATATAAACAGCTCCTACTAAAAATAAGAGACAAAGTAGAAGAATGGGCAAAGGATATGAACAGGCATCTCACAGAAAAGAAAATGTAAAAGGCATTTTAAACACATGAAAAGATAATCTCTACCAGTAAGTATGAAAGAATATTGAAATTCCTCTGTTTTCACTATGTGAGGCTGGCAAACATGAAATGTTTTTGATGACACTGTCAGTGAAAGTCTGAAACAAATGTTCTCATGCATTGCTAGTGAGATTCCATGCTCGTGGAGGCCCGTGGGCAGTACCTATCCGAATTAGAAATGTTTATGCCTTTGGACCTAGTAATTCTACCTCTAGGGATCTCGCCTCCCAATAGACACACACAGGAGAGAAATGATAAACGCAAACGGTGATTCTCCACATGTTGAAATAACCCAAGACTGGAAGGAGTCTAAATGTCCATCAATAATGGGATTGGTTCAGTTCTAGTATGTCCACACACACATAAAGACGGACGGAATCCTATGAAGTTGTAAAAATGGATTAGGAGTTCCTTATGAGCTGGTAATGGAAATGTCACCAGCATATGAAAGCCAAGGTGCAAAGAAATGCACACGATATCCTACCATCTGTGTGAGAAAGGAATTAACATTCTATGGAAGGATACACAAAAATTTGAGCACGGTGAATCTCTGTCTTGGGTGAGAAGTCGACTTTTCATGTTTCAGGTTTTTTTATACTTTTTGGTATTTTGGTGTTTACCTCTTCAAAAAAATTAACCCAAATCAGTTGCCAGCAATTAAAAACGAGGACAAGTCCATAGAAAGAACTGGATTTCCAGCTTCTCTTCAAAAATTGGAACATCAGGCACTACTGGGCTCACACTGTTGCTGGAAACGATGAGCTAAAGCTGAGTTGCTTTAGAGGGCCATGCTCTTCCAGGTTTCTCTTGTACCCCAGCTGTTTCACTAATTTATTGATCTGCCTGGCCCCTGTGGGCATTTGGCATTTGAGAGCCTTAGAACCAGAGGCCCTTAGACCATGGAGAATTTACTCCAAGGATATGAGGTATGTGAAGAAATGCAGCTGGGGGTAAGCAACAGGCTGCCTGGCCATTATGTGTAGTTAGCAACTGGCCTGCCTGCAAGCATCTCTGTGCCCTGATTCCGAATTCCCTGGGGACAAGGGCGTTCGGTCTTACTGCAGAAGTGTGTGCTTTCCATGGCCCTCCTTTTGGAAGTGACTGATTCCAAGTCAGACGAAGACCTAAGAAAACTAGCGACCAGTATCCCTCGCGAAGATAGATGCAAAAGTTCTCAACAAAATATTAGCAGACTGAATCCAGCAACGTAGAAAATGGATTATACCCCATGACCAAGTGGGATCTCTCCTAGGAATGCAAGGTCGGTTTAACATCTGAAAATCAATCAGTGTAACACACTGTATTAATAAAGGTCAAAAACCACACAATCATTTCCACAGATGCAAAGCATCTGCCAAAATCGAACATCTATTTGTGATAAAAGCTCTCCTTCTTGGGGCATAAAGGGGAGTTCTCAGAGAGCAGGGTTAGAGGCTGAGTAGATACCCCCAAAGGTGTTTACTGATAGGATTACCAACTCTCTGGAGATGATTTGTTGACCCAGGAAGCTGGAGGCAGCAGGGCATTTTCCTCCCCATCTTAAAGCAAAATCCCACTTAATTTTTTTTCCCCCTCCTTCTGCA